ACATAGCACATCTTAAGGGTGTCTTGACATAATCACCTCCATCAGCAGATCTTTAAATTTAACAAAATTTGAAGACCGCACTCCGGAGAGGAACGTCCAAATTTCAGCAGAGTTAAGATTTGTTAATTTATGAGTAAAACATACTCACGATCAAGAATGCTCTAAGAGTAAGAGTTGAACACCATATTTCTCTCATTCGAGTAACATAGGATAAAAGATTTTTCTTTAACTCGCATGGATATTTCGGAGCTATTTAATTTCAAAGAATTCGTTAACCGCAGCTTTAGGTATGTTACCAACCATTTTCATGTTCAGGATCTTGGTAAATACCAACTATTCCTTAACCTTCTCCAAGAAACTCATAAGTTCGGCATTTGTAGCAATAGTTACATAGCTCTCGAATCGCGGTAGAGCTAGAACGCGAAAATGGGAAAACAAAGAATCTATATTATATCACAGCTGTTCTCTCTAAATCAAAAGCCTCTCGAACCCTTGATTAAAGTTCGCTAAGTTCGTTCATATGTATCCATATGTACCTTGCAGCTGAAGAACGTTGACACCCTTGACCAAAGAGGGCCAAAAAAAAAGCTGAAAATATACGCAATATTCGGTACTGCCCTGCCAAACCTACCTAACTCACCTTCTTAGGTATTTGGCTACCGACATGGAATTAGAATTCGAGCCAGATCCCGATTAACACTACAAACTCTTTAGTATATCTGCTGCAACAACAAAATATATATCCTACCAATCTAATAAAACTTGTTAATTGCAAATTGAAATTTTTGTTTGTTTTCGAAAAAAAAAAAAACAAAAATCCAAAAGAAAATTTATTAACTAGGCTGCCAAAAACGAACACATTTTCACTCATACTCACACACACGCAAACACACGCTCACATTTATTTCTAAACCTTATTATGTCCTTCTTTTGCCCTGAAAACAATGTTGGCAAATAGTTTATGGTCTAAACAAAATATAAGTTCATGTTGTTATATTGTTGGTGTTGTTGTTGCTGCCGTTGTTGTTGCCTGTTTCATGTAAACAACACAGTCTTCTTATAGATGCATATATTTGATTTGTTTAATGTACTTAGAGGCAGGCAGATACTTTCTTCCACACACTCACACATACATACACCCTAACATCAAAAGCTTTTAAAATCTAAACAAGGACACGTTCTCAGATGTTGATGTTAGATGCGAGCAAGACATGCTGTGTATTCTCACAAACAAAATGTTTAAGATATGAATGCAACTTGAACTACAGAAATTTCATTATGAATAGAAAGGAAATAAACTTATATTCATAAATGAAAACAATAGAGCGCTAGCGCATTGTGACCTAGAGAGAAAAAAGTGGAAAACACCAAAGTTGGATAAGGTCAGGATTTTAAAGCCGTGGTTGAAAGGAAATTTTACAATGACGAAAAATTAATTACAAATTGAGATGCTATCAAAAAAAAGATTCGCTAGTGACACAAGAATCTAATATACAGGGTGAGGTGAAAAAACTGTCATTTCTAAGCCACTCGTCCGACAGCTGTTAAAATTATTCCAGTGACAGTTCCTCATTATATTATTTAAAGGGTACAAAAGCATTTTGGTGAGAATTTTCCAGAAAAAAAGTTATTCGTGATGGAATTCAAGCGTGATAGTTTGATTTCTTTATATTTGGCTGGAAAACCACAAGTGGCTATCCTTAGAGCACTCCAGCATTTAAATGTGAATAAATCTTTTGTGTCTCGTACCATCGCTCGTTACCGTGATACTGGTAGCGTAGCCCGACGTCAAGGAAGTAGACGGAAGAAAACAGCAACATCAGCAGAAATGGTTCGAAAAGTAAAGAAGCGACTTGATCGAAACCCGCGTCGCAGTGGCCGAAAAATGGCTCTAAAGCTGAACATATCGCATTATTACATTCGGCAAATATTGAAAAATGAGCCCGGGGTAAAGCCATTGATAATCCAAAAAGTACAAGAACTTACACCGCAACAAAAAAGAAAATAGACTCAAAAGTGCTGAAGAGTTGCTTCGCTTGGCCGAAAGTGAACTGAACTGCAGAATTTGGATTTCTCCGATGTCCAGCAGTTTTTAAACAAGCAAAATTATCGTGTTTACTTGCCAAAGAGGTCAGCTGAAAATGTGCACTTTCGGTTGGCTACCAGAACTCAAGCGCCGGCCATGGTGATGGCTCGTATTAATCGAACGTGGCATCAGAATAAATGCCGAATGTTATCACGAAAATATTCTGGTGCCAAATAGGAAAACATAGATCTAGATTTTCAATGTTCCGCCACAGTAGCTAGAACCCATTGCGAACTACAAATACCGATTTTTGGATAAATCCGTGAACAAATATGGCAGAAATCATCAAAACACCGACTTTCAAGAAGTACCATTATATGGGGGCTATAACAAAACGTTAACCTACCAAGTTCCGCCATCTAGGAGGTAGAACCCATTACGAACTACCCATTTTTAGACATATCCGTGGAAATATGTGACAAAAATCATTAAAATACTGAATATTCGGAGGTATTATTATGTAGGGTCTATACAAAAACGTGGACATATACATACAATGTTCGGCCACCGGAGCTAGAACCCATCATGACCTACAAATACAAAAATTTTAGACAAATCCGTGAAAAAATGTGGCGTTAACCATCAAATACCGAATATCAGCCTAGCCTAGCCAAAAATCTCCATTGCTAAATAATGGGTTTCCTAATCAATTATTGGCAATTGTAACTACTTACAAATCAACGTACTAACCCATTATTTTTATACAATGGCTTATTGCCGTTTGGTTTTGTAGTCGGAGAAAAGTAAGATATTTTCAGAACATTTGTAGTCGATCTAGCGATGTCCGTCCGTCTGTCAGCCTGCCCGGCTGGTGCACACGATAACTCTCGAAGGGAGTATCCGATTTGGTCCAAATTTGGGACATCGCAATATTATTATCAAATTTAGATCGAGTTCTGTAATGGGTAATAACGGTCCATTCCTAACTTTACAAGTCCTAATATTTGCATCAGTGTTAGTTCAGGTGCGTATATGGACAATATCGGTTTACTCCATCAAGTACCACCCCCACATAGGGTCAAAATTTTGTTATAACTCTTATAAAATGTGATGTAAGGGTTCTATTATCTTAAAATTTCACACAACCCAGAAATTTCATTAACTCAAGGTCTGGTGCTAAGATGAAATATTTCGGGGCACTCCTTCTGGTACCTCCCCCACCAAATGTCGACATTTTGAATATTCATTAGACTCATACAACGCGAAATAAACATCCGATTCCATTTAGACTTGGCACATCTGAATATTTCTATCAACCCAGGATCTGTTATAAAAGCGATAGAGATTGGACTATTCCTTCTGGTACCTCCCGCCAACGTTTTCAATAACCAAAACGTTAATAAAATCCGAAATAAGCGTCAGGTTGTCTTTATATTTTACACATTCCATTATTTCTACTAACACAAGATCTGTTGTGAAGATAGGATATATCGGTCATATCCTTCTTGTACCTCCCCCACAAAAGGGTCAAAATTTGAAATATCCATAAAACTCATAAAACGCGAAATTAACATCCGATTCCATTCAGACTTGGCACATTTTAATATTTCTATCAACACAAGATCTGTTATAAAGTTAGTAAATATCGGACCATTCCTTTATATGTATATATTAACCCAAGGTCTGGTGTTGAGATGGTATATATCGGTCCGCTCCTTCTGGCACATCCCCCACAAAACTTCAAAATTAAAAAAACGGCCATAAAAAGCGGAATTAATATCTAACTCTCTTCAAATTTCACACATCCTACCAATTTTGCTAATTCTGTTATGAAGAAAGTAGCAGATATAGCCGAAACCTGGAACGTAGCGATATTTATATCATATTTATTTAGGTCCGATACGAAATGGACAATATTGGCCCATTCCTTCGGAACCTACTCCATAGAGGGTCGAACATTGGCTGAGGATATACATCAGTCGGCAAAACGACTGAAACTATGTACATTGGTAATGTGGTATTTTAATGTTCTATGCCAGTTTTTCAACTAAACAGAATACAGCTTCCGACTTTTTAAAGGTCCTGGCTTAACGTCAAGTAACGCAAACCCAAAAGTGTAGGTGCCAACCTGTATTCGATTACGCTACAATTTAAGTTTTCCCCCGTGGTGCTGAAGGTTATTAAAGTACTGCTTGGCCAAAATTTCACTTTATTTATATTTATTTTATAATTTATTTATTTATTATTATTATTATTATTTTTTTTTTTTTTTTTTTTTTTTTTTTGTGGCAAATATTGACTTTTTGGAAAAGCCACGTTTTTGGTGTCCCTAAAATCTGCCTATTTCATCTAAATAACTCTAGCAAATTTCCTGCAATCCCAAACAAAAATTCTTTGTCAATATTGACCCGTAAATACATTTCGAACTTTACTAATACCATACCATATATAATTCTGTCGATATCTTCAAAATAACAACCTCTATGCAGAGTTATAACCAGAGTAAGGGTGTTAAATCGACTCAGAAAAGTCTAATGGAAACATTTTTGCTTAGACCACAAACAAATGTTACAAACGTTTTGGCTTAGACCAGCCAATAATGGGGGCAAAAAATATAAACAAATATAATGCACGACCCGAAACGTGCTGGAATTTACCATTAACGATTGAAGAAAAAAAGGTAGGTCAGAAAAATTATGTTTAGCTGTGAATCAATCGAAAATGACGCGTAGTTCGTATTTGTGGGCGAAATTTGTCACGAAACGTTTAATGAAAACGAATGGGCAAACATTGTCACGAATCCTAATTACACCATTTCGAAAAGGGAAATAGAACACCTGGATCACGATCGCGTGCGCCCTCCAGATCACTTCCGTATTTCAAAAAACCACATAAATTCAATAACCAAAAATAATTACCCGCTAATTAAACTCTTCTGTGTTTCACGATTGCATGACTGACCAGTAGTACATACCTGTGGTGTACGATTGCTGTCATCTGTGGCGGCGGCCGGTGCCGTCGTCGAATAGTTACACTGACAGCCCTCCTCACAGCAGAGACGCACCAGTTCATGTTCGCCGCACGTGCATGGCTCCTCGTCCTCCTCGTCGTAGGCGCAGTCCTCACGTATTAGAATAATGTAATCGGCTTCGAAAAATTCATTACGCGTCTCATCGAACACGACACGATTTTTACGCGCGGGCGGTGGACGATTCGGTTTTTTGAGTAAACCACGCAGTTGACCGTTAACTTCACGCATTTTGTTTGAATTTGTGTTGTTGTTGCTAGAGTTAGGTTTTGCTAGGGAACGTCTTGCAACGACAACCAGGGCGGCTGTGCGTGCCGGTAAAGGTGGTGGTGGAGGTGAGGATGATGTTGACGTTAAAGTTGCGGATTGATTTGTTGCTGCTTCTTCTTCAAGCTGACAATTTAAACAGCCACATGGAGATGAAGTTGTGGAACTTATTGAGTCCGCATCATCTTCCCTGGTGACCGGTGGGGTAAATTGCTCAGCAACAATTGGTTGTTGTATAAAATTTGAATTAAAATTCCCGGTTTCCTGTTCTAGTAGCAGCTCATCATAACACTGATAGATAAGGGGCCTGAAAAACTCCGTTAACACGTGTTCTTGGCCGAGATTGTTACCAGCAACAGCCGTAAATGGTGGTGTAGTAGTGGTAGTGGTGTTGTTATTGTTATTTCGGTTCTCCCTTTCCTCCCCCTGATATTGTTTTTGTAAAAACTCACTGAACCGTTGTGTATCAAACTCAGCTGGACCCACTGCAAGATCCGCTTGACTTGCCGCCGTATGGAGATTATTATGATTTAGACAAGTCTCTGCTGTATTTCCGTTTCGTGGTATTAAACGCGGCTCTATTTCCGGTTTGGTTGGCACAAATGCACTTTTATATGCCGCAGCAGATGTGGGCTCCTCTTGGTGGGTATCCCTTGATGCAAAGGCAGTCTCTGGGTGTTGTTTTTGTTGTTGTTGTTGCTGGCGTTTAAGCAACTCTTTGGTATTGACAATGTGTTGCAAATTTAGGTTGCAACGCCGTTTAGTGGGTGATTCTGTGGAGACTTCGCAGCTCTCCCGGGTGCGGGTGTTCAAATCAACTTTGGTTAAGGGAAACCAAGGCGGCGATACATTTGCTTGATTTCCATTGTCTGGCTGTTTTTGATGTTGGAGCTGTCGCTGCTCCTGGCACTGTGTATGACTAAAGTGTTGGTGATTTTTGTTCACTGGCTCTTGGGGGTCTCTGTTGGGCTCTGCTGACGTTGGGGCCGCCGCCGCTGCTGCTACTGCTAACGACGTTGTTGGCTTTGTGTGGGAGCGTTGTTGTGTTTGTTGCTTTTGCTGGTCTAATGTCAAATGGCTGACTGTCGTCTCAGGCTGTTGTTGTTGGCGCAAACGCACTACCTTGGCTGTGACATATGCCTGTGGTGAGTTTGTCGTTTGCCTGGCCAATACATCCGACGTTTGGAGCTGCTCCCTGTGAACGCTCACTTGTGTTTTTGGAATTCCGTTTTCTTGGGCTATTCTTGTTTGTTGTGGGTTCTGCTTTGGATGCGTTTCATCCACTTCTTCTTTATCGTCTATTTTTTGTGTATTTTGTTTTACATCATAACTGCTACTTGTAGGCCTGATACTGGCATTGTGGGTGGTGGTGGGGTGGGAGGTGTTGTTGTTGGTTTGATGGATATTTCCTTTATGTGTTGGTATCCCATACTCTACTTTCTTTGTTAAGGACGACCTTTCTAAAGTTGTTTCACAGTCTGCCTGAAGTTTGTTAGCCTTCGATGTTGGTGTTGTTGTTGTTGCTGGCGTTTCTGTTGTGGCTTTTGAATTTAATACAACCAGGGGGTGGTTACTTTGACTAACAAATGAATTGTCCTTAACATGGAGATATCGAAGGCCTTCTTCCCCCAAAACAATGGTCGTCGTATCGTTGTGGTTGTTGTTGCTGCTGTGAGGCTCTTTATATGGCTTTTGCTGTTTGTTAAGCAAATTCAAGGATTTCAACTCTTCTTCTTGTTCTAGTTTAGGTGTTGTTGTTGTTGCAGTTTGATTATTAACTTGTTTTTTTGGTTCCAATGTCGTCTGGTATTTCAACGGCGGTATGGTATTCAAAAGACGTTTTAAACGTTGACTAGCCTCAAATTCCTCGCTATTCAAGGGTTCCTCAGGATTTTGTCTGGCTAATCCCTCCTCTTTAATCGCCCATTTAGATTTTTGTGGATTTTCCGAAAAATTTTCATTTGTAAGCCAAGTTTGACTCAACTGCTGATTTCCTTGCTTTGCCTTTACGTTCTGTTCGCTGAGATTTTTCACAGATGTTTTTTGGTTTTCTTTCTCTTCGTTTTCTTGGGGCTTATTTTCTTGCCAACTTTTATTACTGTTATTATTTTCTGTATTCTGTATTGTTGATTCTGTTTCACACGGTTTTATTGTGTTTTTGCTATGATTTGTTTTTGTTTTACTATCATTTTCTTTTAAATAACTTTTTTGCCTTAGATTTTCCAGATATTTTTCGAAATTTTCCAAGGCAGTATTTTCAGAACAATTTTCTCGAGGTTTGGAGAAATTTTCACAATTTTCATGGATTTGTTCACACTCAGTAGGAATTTGTTCACACTTTTTATGAATTTGTTCACACTCAGTAGGAATTTGTTCACAATTTTTAATATTTTCAATTTCAAAATTTTTATTAAAATCTCGCGATTTTCCACTCTCTTTTCCCAGATTCTCACTCAAACTCTCTTCTCTCGGAAGTTCATAATTTTTAGGAATTTTTTCATTATTTCTATGAACAATTGCACAAGTTGTTATTTCTCTACAAATATTTTTCTTTTCATTTTCTGGACTTATTTCTGGGTTATTTTCTTTAAAATTTTGTTCACTGTATTTAGGTAATATTTTATGAACTTTTTCATTGATTTTATGAACAATTCCTAAATTACAATTTTCAGAATTTTTGTTTAACAAGTCACGGGGATTATGATTTCTTTGATATATTGATTTATTTTCGGGAGGATTTTCTATTTTTGAGACTTTTACAGTTTTAGGAATTTGTTCATTTATTTTAGGAACAAATTCATAAATTTCGTTTGTTGGGGTTTCTGTGAAGTTTTGGTTTTCTTTTACGAATTCCCGATTTTGAAAATCTTTATTGAAGTTTTGAGTACAATTTTCATTTGCTTTTAAAATAACACCAACCTGTTCATAACTTTTAGGTATCCGTTCATGAAATTTATGAACTTTTTCTTGTTTAACTTCGATTTCTTTCTCTTTCAGATTATTTAGACATTTAGATATTCCTTCCTGGATATTATCAATAGTTCTATGATTTTCCTGGACCCTAAGAGATTTATTTCTATCTTGGCACTCAGAAATTTCTTGATTTACAGAAATTTGTTCATTAATTTTAGGAACAAATTCATGGATTTTGTTTGGTTGGGTTTCTTTTACAAATTCCCAATTTTTCTGGTCCTCAATGCTACTGTCAATACAATTTTCATTTGCTTTTGAAATTAAGACACCTTGTTCATAATTTCTAGGTATCTGTTCATTAAATTTATGAAATTTTTCCTCTTTTACTTCAATTTCTTTTTCCGTCAGGTTATTTAAACATTTAGATTTGCTTTCCCGGATATTATCAGTAGTTCGATGATTTTGCTGAATCCCAACTGATCTATTTATATCTTGGTTCTCAGGAAATACTTTATTTTCAGAAATTTGTTCATTTATTTTAGGAACAAATTCATAGAATGTGTTGGGTCGACTTTCTTTTACAAATTTTCGATTTTTTAAATCCCCAATAGGGTTTTCTGTGCAATCTCCATTTGCTTTTAAAGTAACGCCACCTTGTTCATAATTTCCAGGTATTTGTTCATAGAATTTATGAACTTTTTCTTGATTTACTTGAATATCTTCCTCTCTCTGGTTATTTAAATATTTAGACTTTCCTTTTGGGATATCAATACTAGTTGTATTACTTTCCTGGACCCCAGTTGCATTTTCTGTTGTTTGATTTCCAAGAATTTCTTGATTTCCAAAATTGTGTACATTTATTTGATGAACATATTCATATTTCTCTTTAACTTCTTTATCTTTCTGTTCTTCGGGGAATTTCCCACGCCGTTGGTGAGGTCTATTTTGTTCTATAAATAAATTTTTGGGCAATCTATCATCATCATGCTCAACGAGATAATGCTTTTGGCTATGATGGGTGTTATCGTTGGGGGGACCACCACCCTCCAAGAGTTTTATGTGACCCTCGTCTTGTTGTTGTTTGGGTTCTTGGGATTTTGTTAATGTAATGCCATATGTTTTAGTCCTTTGACCACATACTTCATCATTATTTAGATTTTCATTAAGATTTGCTGATTTGTTGTTGGTCTTCTTGTTGTTGTTGTTATTCTCACTGCTCTTAAATATTGTGTATTCTCGATTTGTTGTTGTATTTAAATATTCCTTTGTCTTGTCACATTGCCTTTGCTGGTCGTCGTCGTTTTCGATGCCGTTGACGTTGGCTTCGTCGTCGTCGAAATCGTTGTTACCTTGTCGTTTCGTCGTCACCTGCTGCTGGCCTTCGTTTTTTGTCGTCCACCATACATTATTTTCAACACAAAGTCCTAACTTTGTTGGTGGTCCTTCTGCTGGTGGTGTTCCTGCCGATGATGAGGACAATGATGATGATGATAATGAACAATTTTTGTTGGTATAGATTTTTTCCCTACTCTCGTCCGCGTAGGAAATTTCACAATTTTCCAAAATTCTTCGATTTTCCGAATTTTCCGCACGAATTTGACAGTTCTCCAAATTCCCACGAATTCCAGGGCCACTGAATTGTGTATCCTTTTTCTTTAGCCCTGCACTACTGATGGCCGTCTCTGTCGTCAGCAGTTCTTTGTTGTCTACAATTGTCTGGTCTGCTTTTTCGACACAGGTCGTCTGGTGTTCTCCACGTCTCAACGCCAAAAAATATTCACAATTTTCAAAATTTTCTTTTTTCTCAAATTTTTTCTCTTCTATTTCCAGAGGATTTTCTTCACTTTTCCCATCGACTATATCCCGAGAAATTTTTAGTATATCATTACATAAAACAGACGAAGCACTTTTATTTTCTTGGAAGAATTGAATTGTTTCACTTCTACCCTGCACTGGAATCACTTGATTTTTCACAACAATTTCCGTTAATTCGTTTTCTTTGACAAATTCAATTTCTTTTTCATTTCGATTTTCTTCGATTGAATTTTGCAAATTTTCACTTTTTGATTTGAATGTTTTAGCTGGCGATGTGTATGTATCGGCGACGACGACGACGATGATTTTTTCATCCTCGTCTGCTGATGGTTTCAGACATTTTGCAAATTCCCTTAACGTATACGCACCACTGGCGGATGGTTGGTGGCAATGTTGCTGTTGTTGTAGATTTTCTTTACTCTCCTCCGCTCTTGGCAAGGATTTGCTGTTGTGACAAATAGAGAATCGTTGTTGTGGTGAGTTCTCTCCATTGGCATTCAATGAGTGATGATGATGAGAGGATAATGCCAAATTCCTCTCTGTGTGGTGTGATGGTATAGAACACGAACAACAACAACTAGTTGGCAATATTGTTGTATTTTCTACTTCATCCACTGGTGGTTCTGACTTTGTCACTTGTCGTCTACTACTAATCGCTGTTATGTTTTGACATGTCTCTTTCACTGGCAATGGCAGCTCTGCGCATGCCACTGCCGCTGCTGTTGCTGTCATTGACCAAAGCTCTCCACTGCCAGCCTCTCTGGCAACGCCAGCTGCGCTGCCCACACTACCTCGGTCAACGTCGTTTTTGCTGTCACTTTCCACTACCACTTCCACAACGTCTGTCGTTTGTCTATGACTATTTAAGTGTACATTTACACACGTAACTGGTGTTTTTGTTTCATTCACCTTCTCCGTCTCTGGCTTTTCCACCTTTACCCATTCCACGCTGCCCACCATTAAGTTTGCGTTGACCATTTGTTGGTCGTGTTGTTGTTGCTGCTGATTTTTATTATCATTTTTGCACTCACTTCGAATTTCACCCATCGTTTGTGGTTCTGGTATCTCCTTACTTTCCAAAAGATTTTGTTCCTCCAGTGTTTCGTTTAAATCGCAAAAAATTGTTGTAACACCACCGCCTAAATGGCCCGGCATAAAATTGCTGGCCGAGTTTTTCGTCTTCAACGAATTGTCATCATCACCACCGTCATCAGCGACAGTCGGAGCAGCATCAGCATCATTAGCTATTCCAGACATGTCTTGTATGAAATTATTTGTCTTCTCCACAAGTCCTTGAGAGAATATTGAAAAGTCATTGACTTCTGCAAAATGTGAAAAAGTAAACATAAGTATTTGAAATAATTAATTGCCAAACGAATAGAAATGAAAATTTTGAGATGTCGGTGTGAAGGAGATGGATAGACCACAAAGGGGACAGATACGGTGGGAGGGGAGAGTTATGGGAATTGATGTGGGTTAGCAGTGCCAAGGGATCATTTATTTCTCTTTTTTTTTTGCATTTTTCTAATTTCTTGAAAAAGAAAACTCTTGACTACAATTTTTTTTAAATAGCTTTAACACAGTTTGAGCGAATGTTAGGAACTAGTTCATTAATTGCTTAATTAATGAAATTAAATTGCGGGAATAAGATAGAAAATATTGAGAAAGGTCAAATTTGTAGAACGTAAATTTCGCTGGATGACAAAATGCAATTTTTTCCATAATTTCAGAAAAACACCAGTAGAATATTAAAGCGGAGTCGTGTATCTGGGCTATGAAAGTTTGCGTCTCAAAGTAACCCAAATAGTGTGGGCAAGTCCCACATTTTTTTTTTTTAATTTCAAATTATGTTTCCTTGGAATCCTTGCAATGTAGGTACATACAGGGTGAGGTAAAAAAAACCTGCAACAAAGTCAAAAGCCATAATTTTTAATTATATTTTTAATGAAAGCAAAATATGTCGGAAATAGCATCAAATTTTAGAATAAATTTAGATTTGTTCGAATTGGTCACCTTTGGCACGAATTGTGGCCTTCAAACAGCCCATGAAACAGTCACACGCTACCCGAATGTTACTCTGCTCTTTATGTATTAAGGCACATTTCCGATGAAGCGCTTGCTTGACGTGGTCGACTCTTTGGTATTTTTTAGTGCCAACCTTGCTTTCCAGCTCACGAGCCTGGGGGAAATGAAAAACTGCAACCAACTTCAGACTGCTGTCATTTCCAAGCCACTCGTCCGCACAGCTGTTAAAATTATTCCAGTGACAGCTCATTATATTGCTTAAAAGCGTACAAAAGCATTTTGGTGAGAACTTTCCAGAAAAAAAGTTATTCGTGATAGAATTCAAGCGTGGTGGTGTGATTTCTTTATAGTTAGAGCACTCCAGCATTTAAATGTGAAAAAATCTTTTGCTTCTCGTACCATCGCGCATCCCGACATCAAGGAAGTGGACGAAAGAAAACAGCAACATCATCAGAAATGGTTCGAAAAGTAAAGAAGCGGCTTGATCGAAACCCGCGTCGCAGTGGCCGAAAAATGACTCGTAAGCTAAATATATCGCAATATTCCATTCGGCAAATATTGAAAAATGTCCTCGGGGTAAAGCCAATAAAATTACAAAAAGTGCAAGAACTTACACTGCAAAAAAAAAGAAAGTAGACTCCAAAGAGCTAAAGAGTTGCTTCGCTTGGCCGAAAGTGGTTAACTGCCGAATTTGGTTTTCTCTGTCTCCTATGAGAAAACGTTCGTTGCCCAGCAGTTTGTAAACAAACAAAATGATCGTGTTTACTTGCCAAAGAGGTCAGCTGGAAATGTGCCCCTCGGTTGGCCTCCAGAACTCAAGCACCGACCATGGTGATGGTGTGGGCCGCCATAACAGCCGATGGTCTCTCTCAGCTCGTATTAATCGACCGTGGCATCAGACTAAACGCCGAATATTACCGCGAAAATATTCTGAATGTTGTATTAAAGCCTTGGACACGCAAACATTTTGGCCGCAGACCTTGGGCATTCCAACAGGACTCAGCAATAACGCACTCAGCACGCGCCACCCAAGAATGGTTACAAAATGAGGTTCCTCTCTTCATTTTCAGCGCACAATGGCCACCAAAATCTCCGAATACCAATCCGTTGGACTATTGTGTCTGGGGTATTTTGGAAAGCAAGGTTGGCACTAAAAAATACCGAAGTGTCGATCAACTCAAGCAAACGTTTTGCCGGGAATAGCCATTCGGGTAGCGTGTGACAGTTTCATTCGCCGTTTGAAGGCCATAATTCGTGCCCGAGGTGACCAATTCGAACAAATCTAAACTTATTCTAAAATTTGATGCTTTTTCCGATTTGATCCTTACTTGATACATCGTCATATTATTATCAAACTAAGATCGAGTTCGGAGATGGGACAATATCGGTTCACTCCTTCTGGTATCTCCCCCACAAAAGATCTAAATTTTTCTCAGAATATATTTTATTGCACAGAAAGAGAAAGAGTAATCCGATTTTGCTCCAACTTTGCAAATCCTAATATTTTCATCGATGCTAGGTCAGGTGCGAAAATGGACAATATTAGTACCTCCCCCACAAAAGGTCAAAATTTTGAATAATTATAACTCTTATAAAATATGATGTATGAGTCCGAATTTCAGACATCCCATTATTTTTACTTACACAAGGTCTGTTGTGAAGATGGGATTTATCGGACCTCCACCCCAAAGGGTTAACATTTTGAATATTCTTGAAGCTCATTAAACGCGAAATCAGATTCCATTCAGACTTGACAAATCTCAGTACTTCTTTGAACACAAGATTTGTTATAAAGATAGTAGAGATCGGACCATTCCTTCTGTTACCTCTCCCACAAATGATCAAAGTTTTTTAATAACCAGAACGATTATAAAATCCAAAATAATCATCCGGTTCTCTTCATATTTCGCACATCATAATATTTTTATTAACCCAAAGTCTGGAGTAAAGATGGGATATATCGGTCCACTTCTCCTAAAAATGATCAAATATCCCATATAAGGCGAAGGAAGTATCCAACATGGTTCAAACCTGGCACGTTGCAATATTTATATCATCTTTATTTGGGTCCGACAACATTGGCCTATTGGACAATATTGAAACGTTCCTTCGGAACCTACTCCACAGAGGGTCAACAATTTGAATAATCATATCAGAAAAGAAAATATATTTAAATAATCGACCATTGGCTGAGGGTCCACATCTGTCGGCGGAAACGACTGATACTTTTTAATTTGTTTTTTTGAAAATTTCGACCTTTTGTGGGGGAGGTACCAGATGAAATGTGTCGATATTGCCCTTTTCCGAACTTAGTCTAAGTTTGACAATAGTATTACGATGTACAAAATTGGGACCAAATCGGTTACTCCCTTCGAGAGTTATTGTGGCACCAGCCAGACAGTCGGACGGACACTTTTAGATTGACTCCAAGTGTCCTCGAACGGATTTTGCCAAAAGAGACGTAGGGTCAAGTTTTTCGATGAGGCACAATTTGACCTTTTTCAAATGATATATACCCTTGGTAGCCATATGTCTGAGGGTATAAAAATTACGTTCGACCGGACCGATTCTTTATACCGACCGATTCACAATGTGAAAAATTGACTCATGATCAAATCGTCTATCCTGAATATGCCTAAAGTTTGGAGGTTTCGTTATATGGTGGCAATACCCATATCGCATATATTTTGAGATAATTCTGTCTATTGGAGGCCAAAACCCTTAGGGTACCGAATATTAGAACTATACCAAAAAGTGCATCTAAATTGAGTATATTTTTATTTTATTTATTTTTATTATTATTATTATTATTATTATTATTATTATTATTATTATTATTATTATTATTATTATTATTATTATTATTATTATTATTATTATTATTATTATTATAAATATATATATATATATATATATATATATATATATATATATATATATATATATATATATATATATATATATATATATATATCTTGATAGTCCCTATACCGTTATAGAAATATTGTTCTACTTTTTGCCTTTTTGTACTTTTCATACCCTTAAACTAAAGATTTCGTTAAAATTCGCCTCAGCTCACCCTAAGGGGTAACCCTTATCCAAAATTTCAAAAATTCCACCTGCAATCAATAACTCAAAACCCCTCGAATTTTCGGGGAAGTTTACTATTCTCATCATTGATAACTTAAAGATAACCCATTTGGTTTCTAGAGTTCTTCCGATCCAATTGTCCATTTAATAACATAAACTAATATTTGGGTCAAAATTTCCCCTCATTCCAAGATTTTTTGAAATTATGAAAATTATTTAAGAAATTCATTTCTTACCTTTGTTCTCCCAACGGCAAGAATCCATTAAGGGCATGGCCCTCGGCTCATTTGTAATCTCTGTGAAAGACATTAAATCAACGGAATCATCTGAGGAAGAGGGTCCATTAAAAGTCTCCCTCATCAATGGTGTATTTTCCAGTGCATTTCCAAAGAATGGATCTTCAGTGTCGATGGCTGGGAATGCATTGTCGTTGTCGTATGCGCCGTTCCATGGCAGAACGGATGATGGCCACAATTCAGCCATGACAAATGATGTTGGAATAACTGTAGTCGATGGTGGTGGTGGAGGTTCCGGTGATGGGGTGAGAACTGCAGTGGCAGCAGCACTGGTGGAGACATTTGTAACGTCAACGCCGGCTAATGCGTTAGCGTCAATGTTCTCTTTGGGCTTTGTAGAAATATTTCCAGTTGGCACAACGTCGCGTGTTGACAAAACGCACTGAACCGTTGCACTGCTACTTTGTTCGTTGGCGTTGTTGTTGTTGTTTTTGTTCCATTGAATAGTGGAGTGTTTATTGTTTTCATTGCTGGCATTTGTTGGGTGACAACGATAACTACAACCACCACCACCACCGGCAACATCACCACGTCGACAGTTATCATCCACATGGCCACCAGCAAAACTATTGGAATCCCAAACATCAGCATTGCTATGACTGGCCCTTTCGGTATTTGTTGGCTGGTTGTCTTTGCCGTCTCCATAGTTATGTCCAATTGATTTTAAAGCTGCCACCACTGTGGATGGTTTTAATGCTTGCTCTGGGGGCATAGCTTCACTATCAGTCACTCTGTCACCACCGCCAACGAGAATTCCGCTATCAGTGCCCATGCCAGCATTAGACCAACTTTGTGAATGTTGGTGGTGGTGACTTTTGTTAGTGGTGTCATGAGATACTTTTGTTGTTGTTGTGGCCTCAGCAATTGTTTTTGCTGCTGCCGATGGCATTGGTGGCGCGGGAGGAGGGGGTGGTGGAGAAGAGGGTGGTATTGCCCCGGCCACGTTTCCATTAAAGCCAACATTATTTGGTTTATTTGTTCGGGCCAAGTTTAATTGTTGCTGTTCCTGTTTACCATTGTTATCGCCGCCGTAGTTGTTGCCACTTCCATTGTTGTTGTTGTTGCTACTATTGCTGTTGTTGACGCAGTTGTTAACCGAATTTAATGCGGCTGTATTGATGTTGCCATTGTTTTCCACAGAAATACAATTGCAGATGTTGATGTCGGTGATGGTGTTGGTGCTGGCGGTGGTTGTGTAGCTGGTGTTGTTGTTATTGTTGTTGCCGCCTTTGCCACAATTGCACTTTGCCATTGCAGTCTTGCAACACTCGAAAGACGACAGTTCAGGTTCAGGCTGTTGCCGTTGTTGTTCTTGTTGCTTTGCCATTGTATGGCCTTTGTTGATTGTTGTGGCTGCGGTGGTGGTAGTGGTGTTGTTGTCGACAATTGTTGTTGGTATTCTTTTGTTGTTATTGTTGCTTTTGCTGTTGAGGTTTTCAATCATGTCTTCATTTCCATCAGCCACCAACGAAATGGACGACTCTACATCTCCTCGAATGACAACAACTTCATCAGTCTTTAACAAATCCAATGGCTTTTGTTGTTGACATTGTTTTTGATGTTGGCCTTCAGGCTGTTGTTGTTGTTGCTGCTGCTGCTGTTGTCGATGACATTTATTTGTTGTCATTTCTGTCAGGGCTTTGGGCAAGCAAATGATCACTTTTTCAGGCAACAATTCGTCAATTGTTTGAATTTTTCTTGTCACAGAATTTGGTTGATTTTTCGTAGTTGCCAGACTTAAGGAATCCAAACTTATCATGGTCTTAAATTTCTTTCGATTTTCGACATTTTGTAATTTTAAACTGAAATTAAATTAAAAAAAATAAATCCATTAATTTACCAATAAAAATTATTTCCGAATTCAACAGTTGTTTACAAGAGGGTTCGCTCTTTGCAGCTCCCAACCCCAATTTTTCTTTGGTATGGCCAATAAATTCAAGTCAATGAGCTTTAAATGCTTCATTGAATACCAATTCCCCTCTTTCTGACATTCTCATTCATTTATCTTTGGAATAGGTTCATGTCTTCATGTTGGCAATGAAACGGAACAGAATTTGAAAAGTTTTATATCCGCTTCCGTTATATTTACAAGAATATTTTTTTCACACGAGATATTTTGAAATTTTTTGGAGAATTATTTTAGGTTGCGACGTGCTTTTGTTATTAAATTTTATAAGAAGATTGTATTGATTACTTCGTTTGTCAAGCGACAACAACTATTCCAATTTGAAATCATGCGGAAATGTGACCACCCTATGAATTTAATATAAGGATAGAAGACAACGACAATGCTGAAGAACGGCTCACAGGCTTTCCACTCAGAGGACAAAGATTCGGAGCTATACAAATCACCATAAATAATTTGTCAGAATATAAATTCCTTCATATCCTCGAAGAATTCTACTTTTCGGACGATGATCGCAATTTTAAGTTGAATTTCAAGTGGGTTTTTTCCTGACTTTTTTAGGAATTTTGTATTTTTACTTTTCACAGTATTTATATCCTACAACACTACGCGTTTGTGTTATTATAAGTTTGGTCATGGACATAAGATGTTATATCCTGTATCCCCGAATTGAGTTGATCTAGCTATGTTTTTCCGTCTGTCCATGTTAATTTGTTAGTAGAAATAATGGGATATGTGAAGTATGAAAAGAACCGGATGCTTATTTCGGATTTTATGATCGTTTTATACCGTTATAGCTGAACCTGGTGCGCTTCGCTACCCCTTTTGATTTTATATTCATTCAAAATTTAATAAATGAATATTTTGTGGTTTAAAAAATAAATAAAACAAATTTAAGAATTTAAAAAAAAAATTATTGTAAGACTTTGATGCGTAAACAAACAAATCGCTCGGTCTATCAATGCGTGAACATGCCAGGCACAAATGTCCATGAGAAAAGCACGAACATGCGAAATTTAGTCCGCATACACGAAGAGTTTGTCCTTCGGATATATTAATTTCATAGCAAAAGCCAAGCATGCTGGAAACTGCAATCTTTGGAAGTTGAGTGGAATTTCTATTGCTATTAGAGAGTTCGAGGTAGCAACATTCTTCGTCATAATAATCGTATCCTCAATTAAATGTTTGTGTAGTTTTTTACTGTTAACATAATACCATGGCAAAGGCACAATCATACCCCAAACTGAACCAGTTTCAATATAATTTGACAACATTTATTTTTGGACCAAATTACTTCACACCTTTCATATTTCATTGAAATTTGTTTTTTTTTTGTTTTTTGATTAAATATAGGTGTATCCAAACCTCAAACAATTTCAATATAATTTGGAAAATTAATTTTTATTCCACAACACATTTTGATATTCACTTATTCCGAATTTCATTGGAATCGTGTTTGCTGCAAAATGTAAAATCGGCCGAAAATATATATAGGAGCTATGTCCATACCTCAACCGATTTTAACATAATTTAGATTTTTTTGTACCAAATTCCGTCATCTCTGCCACACATTCTGAATTTCATTAAAATCGGACATACATATCGTGTATGATGCATAAAATACATGAAATCGGCCGAAATATATATATGGAACCTATATCCAAATCTGAACCGATTTCAATATAATTTGACAATTTTATGTTCTAAATTCCGTCACATATGATTGCAAATTTCATTGTAATTAGACATACCTATCGTGTTTGAAGAATCAAATATGTTAAATCGATCTAAAATATATAAGGGAGTTATATTTAAATCTTAACCGATGTCAATATAATTTGACAAATTTATTTTTGTACCAAATTTAGTCACTCATGCTGAATTTCATTGGAATCGGACATACGTATCGTGTTTGTTGCATCAAATATGTGAAGTCGGCCGATAATATATATGGTCGATTTCAATATAATTTGACTAATTTATTTTCTGATCCAAATCCCGTTACATATTCCAAATTTCATTAGAATCGTACATATCGTGTTTGTTGCATCAAATAAACGAAATCGGCCGAAAAAATCTGAACCGATTTCAATATAATTTGACAAATTTATTTTCTAATCAAATCCCGTCACACATTTAAAATTCCATTGGAATCGAACATATATATCGTGTTTGGGGCATCAAGTAAACGAAATCGATGGAAAATATATATGGGAGCTATATCCAAATCTGAACCGATTTCAATATAATTTGTCAAATTTATTTTCTGATCAAATCCCGTCACTCATTCCAAATTTGGAGACTGTATCTGTAATCGATCAATAGATATATGTATTCAAAAACTAATTTTTTGGGAGGTACCTCCGATTCTGATGCTATATCTCCAGTTCCAAGTGGTATTTCAAAAATGTATATAGCCTATGTTACTTTCAGGCGATGTTGTACTATACTTGGACATTTTCAGGAAAATCTGTTCAGCGGTTTTCGACTCCATAAATTACAAACAAACATTTTCCTCTTTTATAGATATAGAAGTACTTTCCATACTGTAAACAAGTTTGCAAAATTTCACCCCTTCGCACAGAGTGTGACCACCGTAAAATATTTCACATTTTTATGGCATTTCCGGTCGCTCAATAACAGTTCCCTGCCATTTTGCGCCTTTTAGTATTTTTCGGTTTTCCAAAAATCACGCCTTATTTCACCCCATTTGCAAATTAAGTGATCCTTGCCTAAGATGCTTCGCTTGGAAGTTTATGAGCCAATATTTTTTTCAGAAAGTCAGCTAATTGCTTTATTTTGTTATTATATTTTATTTTAAAAAGTTTTTATTTTTTCATCTACCACCAAATCGTAGATTCTGTTTTCCTATAGACACCTCATGCAAAATCTGAATTTAATTTAATTAACGGATATATTTTACAAAACACAGTGTAGATATTAGATAATCATCTAAGACCGAAACAACCAATTGTTAGTTTTATTCCAAATAATAAGAATCAAAATTCCTTACACAGCTATCTTAAATTTGAATACTAACGACTCATTCCACTTGTCATTGTGCGACTTCTACTTACCACTGTTAATTGTAATTATCCTAATTTATTCAGTTCAGTTTGTATCCAAGTTGGAGATTCCAATTAGTTTGATAATTTTTTTTCACACACTCTCACACTGTTTTACTCTCTTTTTTCGAAACTAGCATAACTTATTTGCATATTATTGTTGAATTCTTTTTTTTTCAAACTTGTTTTTTTTTCTTTATTGCTGTATTTACTTCTTTTGTGTTTGGCCCGTTTTTTAACATTTCCTTATCATTTATTTGCTACTTCTTTCGTTTTGGTGGGAAATTTTTACAAATTGTTTAAGTATTATGCAAAACAATGTTTTCACAAATACACTCGCACACACACCACTTCTTTACTCATACATTTATTCAGGCACTTGTTCCCACAGGCAATTTCCTTTTTTATTTTGGTCATTTATTATTCGAACGAAAAGACCAGCAGCGGAAAATGTGATCACAACAGGTGTACAGGTGTTCACTCCTTAACACACGCTACCCCAAAAAAGGATAATCATTTAAATGAGCGCGAGAGAGAGAAAGAGGGAATGCTAAGGACTCCCTGTGTTGACTTTTAGATAAAACAGACACAAACACACACACATGTCACAGGTGATCGATTTTCCAATAACAATAACTACAACAATGTGAAGCTAGCCACTTAAACATTATTTGTGATCCTGATCATGTTTTGGTCATTTGGCTGTGTTTTCATTTTTTGAGGGTTGTTACGCTCGATTGCCTTGCTGGGAGTTGAATAATTTTATGTGAAATTGTGTGTTTCTCTGTATTTCACTCAAATTTTAGAATTTCTGGCTCTCTTCCGTTTGCTAAATTACGTTTTTGTTTTAAGGAAAACGCGTCCGTTCTCGAAGACATTTGAAAGTAAACTAACTTAAAAATGTCCATCGACCAAGTCGGGCTTCAATTCAAGCCGGGTGGTTGTGATGAGCTGTCTGTCTGCGGTTGGTGATGATAGCAGCTCTGAGAAAAAATGACAAAAAGGGGGAAATTTGTTGTCGTCGTTTGCCATGGCAGGCAGAGAAGACATGGCTGGCAGTAGCTTCATTATTACTAAAGTTATTGTTTTCGAAGACAGTTTCTGTCGTTTTTGTTTTTTTGTTGTGGTCTTAAGCTCTTGTTTTCCACACCAGCAGCACAGTAAGTACGGATGAGCGTGTTTTTTTCTTCATACAAACTTGAGCTTGTTTTTAGGGTTTGGAGTTTTTTTCTTTTTTTTAGCTTGAGCTTCGTTTCTTTAACAATGCTGGGCTGATTTTTCATTCATAGTTAGTTACCTTGGTGTACTCTGTAATTTGCAGAGCTCACACAGCAGCAGCAAAAAAATAAAGAAAACGAAGCTCCTCATTGTGCCAAGGGAAAAAGTTCTCAAGTATGGCAGAAAATTCTCAGTGATAATTGCTGGCGATCGTTAAGATATGTTTGAGTTTGTGTTTTTCTATAAAAAATAAAATTAATAATTAAGATGTATACGTGGATCGCATGACGTCTTGAAATCGTTAGGGTTGGGTTTTTCGTTCGACATCCAGTTTGAGTGTCTTACAAGAGCAGCTTTATCCAACTCTCTTGTAACCATTGAATTTATCGAAATTAGACTTCCTAAGACCCTATTCCAAGACCAAACGGCTGAAGCTAGAATCTTGAAATCTTGAGTGAGGGTCACTCTTTATCCGAAGCGTCAGACAAGGCTGGGTATCTGGAAATTCTAACTAGAACGGTACGAAAAGTACTAAAAGTTACTATATATGGGTACCATGTGTTTGACGACCCAGTAGAGTCAAATTTCTACTGGATTGCTGAGTGTTAGAACTGTACTAAATGTGGCACAATTCCATTTTGGGTCAACGGAAAAAGCTGGTGTTTCGAAAATATGATTTTGGGGTTCCTGTTGGTGGTTAGTTTGTGATAAAGAAATGGTTTAGGAAATAGGTACTACAAATGCCCAAAAAATACTAAATGTTATTATATTTGGTACAATTTGGTATTGGATGAACATATAGTGCTTTCAACCCAAAATTTGTTATTAGGGTAACTTTCTATGTTTTGCCTGGACATATGGAAGTGGTTTCGGAAAAGTGAACTATAATTGTACAAAAAGTACTAAATGTTACTAAATATGGAAGGGATAGAGATACTATTCTGAAATTTGATATTTAGATTGCTGATGGTATCTGAGAATTGGCAGAGGTTTGGAAATGTGTAATATATTTGTACGAAAAGTACAAAATGGTACTAATTTCGGTACTGGGTGATGGGATAGAACTGGAACCCCGAAATTTGATATTAAGGTCTCTGTTGGTAGCTGGAATTGAGAGATCGAGGTGGTTTTTGAAATGTGTACAAAAATTACTGAATAGTACTAAGTCTGGTATAGGGTGAAGAAATAGGGCTGGACTCGTAAATTTGATATTGAGGGTTCTGTTGGAATCTGGGATTGAGGTATGGAGGTAGTTTTGCAAATGTGCATTACAATGGTTCGGAAAGTACTAAATAGTACTAATTTTGGATCACTGTTGGAGTCTGGGATAGAGAGATGTAGATTGTTTTGGATATGTCTGCTAAATGTTACTAAATTTGGTATTGGATAAAGCAAAAAAATATATACAGGGTGAGATGAAAAAAACAGCAACCAACTTCAGACTGCTGTCATTTCTACGCCTCTCGTCCGACAGCTGTTAAAATTATTTCAGTGCAAGCTTATTATATTGTTTACAAGCGTACAAAAGCATTTTGGTGAGAATTTTCCAGAAAAAAAGTTATTCGTGATGAAATTCAAGCGTGATAGTGCGATTTCTTAATATTTGGCTGGAAAACCACAAGTGGCTATCGTTAGAGTCTCGTTATGTCTCGTAACATCTTTCGTTACCGTGATACTGGTAGCGTAGCCCGACGTCAAGGAAGTGGACGGAAGAAATGGCTCGAAAAGTAGAAAAGCGATTTGATCGAAACCCGCGTCGCAGTGGCCGAAAAATGGTTCGTGTGCTGAACATATCGCAATATTCCATTCGGCAAATATTGAAAAATTAGTTCGGGGTAAAGCCATTGAAATTCCAAAAAGTGCAAGTACTTACACCGCAACGGAAAGAAAATAAAGTCAAAAGAGCTGAAGAGTTGCTTTGGTTTTCTCCGATGATAAAACATTCGTTGTCCAGCAGTTTGTAAACAATCAAAATGATCGTGTTTACTTGTCAAAGAGGTCAGCTGAAAATGTGCAACTTCGGTTGGCCAGCAGAACTCAAGCGCCGGCCATAGTGATGGTGTGGGCCGCCATAACAGCCGATGGTCGCTCTCCGCTCGTATTAATCGACCGTGGCATCAGAATAAATGCCGAATATTATCAGGAAAATATTCTGGAGGGTGTATTAAAGCCTTGGGCACGCAAACATTTTAGCCGCAGACATTGGACATTCCAACAGGACTCAGCACCATCGCACTTAGCACACGCCATCCAAGAATGGTTACAAAATGGTTTCTCGCTTCATTTCCAGCCCACAATGGCCACCAAAATCTCCGGATACCAATTCGTTGGACTATTGTGTCTGGAGTATTTTGGAAAGCAAGGTTGGTACTAAAAAATACCAAAGTGTCGATCACCTCAAGCAAGCACTTCGCCGGGAATGGGCCAAAATACCGCAGAGCAACAATCGAGGAGAGTGTGACGGTTTCAGTGGCCCTTTGAAGGCTATAAATGGTGCCAAAGGTGATCAATTCGAACAATTCTAAACGTATTCTAAAATTTGATGCTATTTCCGACATTTTTTGCTTTCATTCAATAAAATTAAAAAAAATAATAAAATTATGGCGTTTGATTTTGTTGCAGTTTTTATACCCTCCACCATACTATGGAGGGTATATTAACTTTGTCATTCCGTTTGTAACTCCTCGAAATGCTCATGTCAGACCCAACAAAGTATATATATTCTAGATCAGCGTAAAATTCTAAGTCGATTTAGCGATGTCCGTCTGTCTGTCTGTTGTAATCACGCTATCTTCCGAACGAATTGAGATAGAAGGCTAAAATTTCGCACACTTGTTTATTTTTCCAGTAGGCAGTTTAAGTTTAGCCCCCATATAACGGTACCTCCCGATATTCAGTATTTTGATGATTTTAGCGACACTATTCACCTGAATTGGTTCAAATTGGGTATTTGAACTTCGAAATCGATACTACAGCCTATGACATAAAATTGTCTGTGCATAGCCCCCGTCTTCGTATAGCCCCCATATATCGGTAACTCTCAATATTCGGTATTTTGATGATTTAAGGGTCATTATTCACCGGAATTGTTTTAAATTACGTATTTAGAGTTCGTAATGGTTCCCATTACAGTCTGTGGCAGATAATTGTTCATGCAGGTGCAGGTCTCGTATAGGCCCCATATATCAGTAACTCCCTATATTCGGTTTTTTTTACGAATATAGGTACAACACCCACCGAAATTGTTTGAGATGTCGTATTTTAAGTTCGTAATGGATGCTACAGCCTGTGAAAGAAAATTGTTGCTGGTCCAGGTTTTCGCACAGCTCCGATATAACGGTACCTCCCTACATACGATATTTTGATGATTTTAGCTACAATATTCACCGTTTATTTCAAGTTTCGAATTTGAATATGGTAATGGCTTATGACAAACAATGCCTATGTAGGTCCACGTCGTATAGACCCCAATATAACGGCTATATTCGGAATTTTTAAAATTATAACAGAATTTTTTAAAGATTTTATTTTTTGAAAATATCCAAATTTGTTCCAAATGGTGGAGGGTATTCAAAGTTCGGCCGGTCGAACTTACTGCTTTTTGACTTTTTTTATCTCACCCTGTATGGGAGCTATATCCACCCCTTAACCAATATAATATGGCAAATTTATTTTTGTACCGAATTCCGATACTCATTCCAAAGACTGAGGACTGAATCTATCACCGATCATTTTTTCGGAGGTACCTCCGATTATGATGCTATATTAGCACTTTAAAAATCTATATAGCCTATGTTACCTTCAAACGTACAATCAAATGACCACACATTTTTCTATTTTATAGATATAGATATGTCAAATTTCAAAATGTTCACCATTTGGTGCGTAAATACAATTTCTTTTCATACCTGTCAACATTTAAAGATCTTCGTTTCAAAATATGATTGCCAAGATCATGATCAGATCATTCTTCTTCGCGCATCACTCAATTTGTTATGCCAACAATGATATCAAGGAAATATCATCACCATCATAAAAAACCAACTGGTGACACAATGATATCAATTCAAAACTAAACTGTCCGACTGGCCAGTTGGTCGGCTTCATCAAGGAAATAATGGAGGAAATATAGGAAGTGTCACTACATGGCAATCAACAACACATGACTCTTCTTCTTCCATGCACTTGGTCAGTCAAGCCAGTGACTTGGTTAAGACATTTCCTAATAAATCTGTTTTAATTACATGATTCGGTGTAAATCCAAATCACCACCACCACCACCCAAAAAACCAAGGTCCGAACAAATGTTGTTGTGGTTTTTATTGTTTTTACACTATTTCGCATTTACCACAGATTGTATTTCATTCATACTTCTTCAGTTGATACTACAACTCAAAAGTTTACGCCTATTTTATGGTTTAATTTTATGTAACTGAAACACTCATACGACCCTCTATGGGCGCACAGTTTTTGTGGG